AGGAGGAGATGTACGATGGCGTGGCTGTCTCTTTAATCTGTAGTTATGCTTTATTTAATTAACTTTAATGCTTATTACGTTTTCGGGCAAGATCCCAAGTTGTTTGATTTTAAAAAGGCTTCTGCTTTATTTTAAATTACTCCGATGGATTTTTATATGTATTGATAGAATGTTTGTTTTAAATTGTTTTGAAAATGTTTTATATTCGGATACCAATCCAGTGGCACAGCGGTCCGCGGTCTCTCGGGTTTGGGTTACGCGGGTTGGGGTGTTACATTTTGGTATCGGAGCATTTGGTTTTAAAATCGGTCTTTGGACCCTTTCAAAATAAAATACAATGAATAATTCAGCCGCATCTGCATCTCACGTAACTCCTCTGCCCCAGGAAGGTAATAAGTATTTATAGCTTTATCTGTTATATGTTAAGATCTGACTTGGGAATTTCCTTATTATTTTAGAATGAGTCAAGAATCGACCCATGGTCAGTACGTTCCGGAGCCGGAGCACGTGAGCGTGCACACGGTGAACACCGACGGTTCGAGTTTCACGCCTCCAGGTGACGGAGGGCAGCAGCAGAATCAACCTGAGCCAGCGGGACAGCCACCAGCTGTACCACCGCCAGTCGTACCACCTCCAGTGATGCCACCGTTGGCGATACCGCAGGTGGCCTACGAGCAGATGTTCCCGGCCATGATGGCCCATTATATGCAGCACATGGCGCAGCTTATGCCCATGTTCCAGCCGCCGCCACCACAGCCGCAGCCGCGCATCGTTACCTTCAAGACGTTGAAGGATAATGGAGCGGAAGAGTTTCGAGGAGACCAGATGGGGGAGCCCCAGATTACGTTGGATTGGCTTGAGCAGATGGATCGGGTACTCAAGAATTTGAGAGTCCCTGATGCAGATCGCTCGGAGTTGGCGTCACAGATGTTCCGGAAGGGAGCATATGATTGGTGGAAGCGCATTGACCAGGATCCACACACGCCCAAGCCATGGACCTGGGATCGCTTTGATCGAGCCTTCACGAAGGAGTACATCCCCACCCGGTACCGCGAGGAGAGGCGCAATGAGTTCGTTGCGCTTAAGCAGGAGGCGATGTCACTGCCTGAATTGAGACAGAAGTTCGACTACCTGTCCCAGTATGCGACGAGTCTAGTCTCCACTCCGGAGGATCGTTTGAATGAGTTCGTCAAGAAGCTACGGCCGGACTTGAGGTCGTACGCCGCGCTGATCACGACGACAGATTTTAATGCGGCGTACGATTTGATTGTGAAGACGGAAAAGAGCTTGGACGATTTGCAGGCGACCAAGAAGGAGGATCGAGCGACGAAAGACCCGCGACCCGGGGCCAGCACCGGGCCGAGCGGGATGAGTTTTGGATTCGGGGGAAAGAGGTACGAGAAGGGATCTTCGAGTGCGCCGCCGCCTAAGAGGAGTAAGTCGAAGCCATCTCCGTCGGCCGCCGCTAGCAACGCGATCATAACGAAGAGCCACCCGCAGTGTGTACAGTGTGGTAGGCATCACCCAGGCGAATGTTGGCTCGCCCAAGGCTTATGTTTGGGCTGTGGTCAGCCAGGGCATTTCAGGAGGCATTGCCCGACAAACCCTAGCAGCGAGCCTGTTTTTCCTAGAGCTCCGGATCAGCCTGCCGCATCGTATCCAGCACGGAGTCAGCAGTCTACAGCCGCAAATAATCAGCAGAGACCACGTCCGCAGCAGACAGGCCATGCACCAGCGCGTACCTAGGCCATGCAGGGGCGCACAGATCCTAACCCCGATGTAATCTTGGGTACGTTCATACTATTTGATTCGGTTATGCATGCCTTGATCGATCCGGGTTCCACGCTCTCCTATATCTGTGTTGGCATGCCTGCTAATTCTGCGATCGTGAGGAGTGACCTTGAGATACCTACCGTTGTATCGAATTCGCTAGGACATAGCATGCGTCTTCATCACATTTATCATAGGTGTCCGTTGTCCGTGCAAGGGAAGCAATTCCCTGCAGATTTGATAGAGCTACCACACAAGGAGTTTGACATTATCCTTAGTATGGATTGGCTCACCGAGCATAGAGCAGTGGTCGACTGCAGTTGTCGGACCGTACGGCTAAGAGCCGAGGACGGTAGCGACGTATCACTCTCCGGGGAGGTGTTCCCCAAGGCTCCCGAGTTCATACCGTCCTTGAGCGCGAGGCGCTTGATTCGCAAGAAGTGCGAGATGTTCCTGTGTCACGTTCAGGATATGCGAAAAGAATCACCACGTCAGCAGGACATTCGTACGGTTTGCGACTTCCCCAATGTCTTTCCCGAAGACCTTCCTGGTTTGCCTCCGCCGAGAGAGGTAGAGTTCTCGATCAATCTCATTCCGGGTATGGAACCCATATCTGCTACACCGTATCGTATAGCACCTGCCGAGATGAAGGAGTTGAAGGCTCAGTTGCAAGAACTCATGGAAAAGGGATTCATCCGACCTAGCGTTTCCCCATGGGGAGCACCGGTGTTATTTGTTCGAAAGAAGGATGGATCCATGAGACTTTGCATCGACTACAGGCAGTTGAACAAAGCCACAGTGAAGAATCGTTATCCATTGCCTCGCATCGACGACCTGTTCGACCAGCCTAGAGGGGCTACAATATTCTCGAAGATTGATCTGCGTTCTGGATACCATCAGATTCCCGTTAAGAGAGAAGACATTCCGAAGACTGCTTTTAGGACACGCTATGGGCATTATGAGTTCTCAGTCATGCCTTTCGGATTGACTAATGCCCCGGCAGTGTTCATGGAGCTTATGAACAGTGTGTTCCGACCATACTTGGACCAGTTCGTAGTAGT